TCCTAAAGCTTGGCCAGAACAGTAAAACGAAGATGTGTCGGAATCACAAACAATAGGCCAATGCTATCAAGTATCAAACTGCGATGAAGCAAGGTGCGATCGTGTTGCACCACGAGATGAAAGGATGCATTGGAAGCCGGTGAGTTAAGCGGTCGATCATCTTGCGGAGAGTCGGGTCTCGATATCGCTCGGCATGAATGTTGAAGAGGTCAGTTATTGTGAGCACAGATAAAATGGTATTGATCGCCAAAGGTTCTGGTGGGTCTATGAAATAATTAAACAGGCAGTCGGAGTCCTAATGCAAGCGTCCAGACTTATAGATGACAGTGAACGTATACTCTTTAAGTCGTGATGTCCGACGATTAAGGCAACCAGTTGGGTTCTCAAGAGAAGACACCCAGCACGAGGAGACGGCTAACGATACTGACAATAGCGAGAGATGTGACCTAATCCATTGAAGTAGAAACACTTCAGCCTGTCATCATGTGTGCACCCCTAGTTCCGATCACAGTGTCAAAAAGAGGTCGGTGTTGGGCAATAGGATGGAACAGAGCAGACCATTGGACGACTTAGGGCATGTATGGGCTGGATACCTGCGTTTGACAGTTATTCGCGCCCGACGACCTGGATCAATAATACTGTTGGACAGGCCTCCTCTGGGCTTGGTGGCACCGTTCGGAGCATTGAACTATGTGCTATTCGTTATACAGGTATGCCTTGGCTTTCACGGGACTGAACGTGCTTCTCTGCTGGGTTGCTGTGGTCATTCCGCCACAACGCCGATGTCATCAAGTATCCAACACGTGCAACTTGGGACGACGCTGCTACCGCTATCAGCATGGCAGAACGAACCCCGTCATGATGTGACGCTTCGCACGTCACGTCCGGAGGATCCTTTTGGCGAACCAGCGACATCTCGCACATCGGCGGGACTACATAAAAGGCCGAACATGACTCGCGCGCGCTTCACTGGGCTTGGTGGCAACGTTCGGAGCATCATGCTAAACTACGTGCTCTTCGTTATACGGGTTGGTGATAAACGGTCCTTTGTTAAATGTACTAAAACTAGTTACGTTGGACTAGTTGTGCGGCCAAGCCCACAGTACATGTTGTTTTGCTACCTGCAGTGTGTTCGAGTGATATTTTTGTTATTGCAACTGAGTGGTGACGTAGAAGAGAACCCAGGTCCTGACAAAATAGATCAAATACTAAAGGCCGTCAATTAACTTAAGACATCTGATACAGCTCTTGAGACGAGTCTTAAAGATGTCCAGCTAAGGCTATCTCAGATTGAAAGTACCCTTACGTCATTAAAGCAATGTCAGGAAAAGATAGAAATATGTGAAGCAACCGTATCGGCTATGCGCAGTGAGTTCACTGAAGTGCACAACAAAATAGAAGAACTAGAAAATAGAAGCCGCCGAAACAATATCACTATTTATGGTCTTAAAGAAACAAAACAAAAACCAGAAATGGTGCAACAACTTGTGACACGAGGGATATTTTCTGAAATATTGGGCATCGAAGTGAAATCTGTTGAGCGTGTGCACAGGCTCGGTCTTCGGAAGCCTAACCGCGACTGACCGGTTATATTGCGCTACTATGATTTTACAGAAAAAATGCTGGTATTACGAAACTGTTTTAAACTAAAAAATACAGCCATATCTGTATCAGAAGACTATTCTAAGTTTGTTCGTGAAACTCGGAGGAAGCTGTGGCAGGCGTCTGCACTGAATCGCAGTAACGGAGATAAGGTGACACTAGTTTATGACAAACTTAAAATCAACGGAGAATGCTTCACATGGAATGAGTTAGAAAATAAAATAGTAGCTGTGAAACCTGCTCGTACCAATGGTCACAAGAAGGCAAGCACTTCTCAAGCGTGACCGAAAACAAAAGAGCCACTTACGCTGCTTTGCTTTAATGCAAGAAGTATCGTAAACAAAACACAGCAGTTGGAAGAACTGTTGCTTTTGTGCGGACCTGATATAGTGGTCATTACGGAAACGTGGCTAAACCCTGATATTCATGATTCAGAGATAGTGCCCCCAGCATACGCACTGCTTCTTACAGATCGGGATGGCCGTGGCGGGGGCGTGACCATCGCCATTAAATGGAACACGCCTTTTTATAAAGAAAGTGGCATTGCTGGCCACGAAAGTGTGTGGTGTTCAATCCTTATTAATAACGTCCCTGTGTTGATTGGTGGTGTTTACCGGTTTCCGGGTGCTCCTGATGAATACCTTGTAAAGCTACAGAACTTTCTTCACGGCTGTGTAGGTGAGCGAACGAAACTAATACTTACTGGTGATTTGAATATGCCGGGAATAAACTGGGACACTTTTGCCATCGAAAATACTGCTGTTAAAGGTTCAGATATACTTTTTGACATTATGTTTAGTCACTTGTTGACACAGCTGGTGATAGAACCGACTCGCATCCATGGGTCGGCATGTTCAGTGCTTGATCTTGCATTTGTGTCTGGCTCATTAACACCACAATTAAGTATGAGGGAATCTCTGATCACAAGCTCATTCTGTTGACATTTAATGGCATGGCCGGCCGCGTATCACACGCAAAGACGCGCATATCAGTTAAAAATTACTACAGAGCGAATGACGAAAGTGTTATAGATTTTCTTGAAGCATCACAAGACGATTTCTTTAATACGTCATCGGGTGTCGTGGATCTATGGAACAAACTAAAATCTGGAATCACGCATTGTGAATCAACCTTCATAGCTACTAAGCTAAAGAAAACTAAGCATAAAACGCCGTGGATTACGAGAAACATAATTCACCTATAGAGAAAAGTACGACTCCGCAAACATAAAAAGAAATCCGCTGCGCTCAATGAGCTTTCACGCCACTTAAAAACAGAAATAAAGATGGCAAGAGACCACCTTTTCTCAAGCACTCTGACTGAGTTTATGACAAATCAACCACGTAAGTTTTGGAAGTACTTATCAAAGCCAAATAGCATAGTAACTAAAATGGAAATATCGGGTAGTCTTGTTGAAAATACACGGATTATTGCAGATGCTTTCAACATTTACTTCCAATCAGTTTTCAGGCGTACGCAGCCTTCATTTTTACCATCGTCTAACAGTGAAAATCACATGCCAGAGTTAACAATAACAGAGTCTGGCATACTTAACCTGCTTCTTCAACTCTATGTAAAAAAATTGCAAGGCTTGGATGAAATTTCCAATGCTTTTCTTAAACGCTATGCCGCTCAGCTAACCCTTTTTCTGCAAAAGATATTTTCCTTATCATTAGAAACAGCTGTGCTTCCTGATGATTGGTTCTATGCAAAAGTAATTTCTATCCATAAAAGTGAGAACAAACAACTAATAAACACATACAGGCCTATATCACTGACAAGTACATGCTGCAAGCTAATATAGCATATAATAAGTAAAGCACTTATGAACTATCTAGAGGAAAATAATCTGCTTTATCCGAACCAACACGGTTTTAGAAGGAAGCTTTCGACCACTACACAACTTTTAGAGATTACTCATGACTTTGCTTTAGCTATTGATTCTAGACTGCAAATAAATGCAATATTTATTGATTTTTTCTAAGGCATTCGACCGCGTTCTGCACTCGTTGCTCATACAAAAACTTGAATCATTTGGGATTAACTCAAAAATAGTCCATTGGATTGCCGCTTATCTTTCCAACTGCACCCAGTATGTTTCTTTTAATAATGGCGAGTCCGACCGTGTCGACGTGTTCTCTGGTGTTCTCCAAGGGTCCGTACTAGGACCAACACTCTTTCTCATATATATCAATGACATCTACACTGCTATGGAACCAGGTATTACAATGAGGCTTTTTGCAGATGACTGCGTCACATACTCTCCCACTAGCACTAGAGAAGACCAGCTGAAACTTGACAAATCTTTAGAAAATATTGGGCTATGGTGTGAAAAACATAGTATGCAAATTAATACAGACAAAACCATGTGCATTACAATTTCCCATAGAAAGACACCACTTCACTTTCAGTACAACTTCTCTGAGGCAGACATCAAGCACGTAAATACCGTAAAGTACCTGGGGGTCACAATAACACATTAAAGTGGGATGTCCACATTAATCAAATTTCTGCACGTGCATTTAAACAACTAGGTTTTTTAAGGCGTAAACTAACCAGAACTTCCCCTCAAGTTAGACTAACAGCGTACAAGACGCTCATTAGACCCATCCTGGAATATGAAGCTATAGTTTGGAACCCACACCAAAAGAACATGATTGATGCATTGGAAAAGATTCAAAACCGGGCTCTTAGGTTTATTTTTTCAAAGTATGCCAGGCGGAAGAGTGTTTCCGCGCTGCGTTTGCAAGCACGTGTCGCAACTCTTGCTAGCCGACGACAATTACCCAGCCTGAAATTTCTTTTTCTTCTTTCAAACAACCTGGTAAATTTAAATAAGGATGATTACCTTAAGGCTCCGCACCGTCACTCCAATAGAACTAACAATGACAAATGCATACGCCCATTCCTGTCACGTTGTAACACGTTGAGGTATTCTTTTTTTCCCGCAGCTATAGAGATGTGGAATGACTTGCCGAACGACGTTGTCAGTGCACAATCACCTGAATAATTTTCATCGCTGTTGGAAATTCATTTAGAGGCATTGCAATAAATCCTGTGCTATCTTCGCCGAAATAAAAGTTGAAACAGTGTATCGCGCATGTGCTCCCACATTGCTACATGTGCTTAACCGCTTGCATCTGTATATCAATGTTATCGTTGATGTTATCATGCTAAGTAGTTTTCTTCAGTGAAACACATGTGCATTGTTCATTTATTGCTTTATACTGTTATATCGTTATTTTTCTTTCCTTTTCATCTTTGCGTTATGAAGTGTTATTTGCTCTGTACGCCTTCTCCTGTATAGGCCTGAAAAGGCCCACAGTATTGAATAAATAAATAAATAAGAGCGAGCCAGTGGAGAAGATACAGATACTGCCTCATCTCTCCCCACACAGGGCACAGAAAGTTTTCGGTACTGAACGGCTGGAGCACGACAACGTGGCGATGGTGTTAGGCCACTGGACAAATTGCTGCATAACTCAATGGCTCTTCGCTTCCTCCAAACATCGGCACTCCGTGATGATGTCATCAGAGAGTGGCTTCCACTTGTTTGTAAACAAGCAAGTGGGAGGCGTCATTGGCAATGCCTTCAAGAATGTGGCCGACTGTCAGATTCAAGCATGTGGTTGTCAACTTGTTGGCACAAAGCTGAAACATTTTGAATGTACATCATGTATAACTCCAGTAACCTAGCTTTCTGGGTGAGTTGGTTCATAGTAATAGAAAGAAGAAACTAGAGAAAAACTTCAATAAACTTTTAGTTGTAAGTCGAGCGCTTGTGTGGTTGTTCTTCTTTGCTGTTTTCGTGTGGTTTTTCGCTGGTTTCTTGCTCATATTACAGGCTTTTCGAAAAAGGTCTTTCATTTTTTGTTTGTGCACATGCTTCATGCCTGTAAAACCACACACTGGCCATTCCCCTCAGTAGTAGCTGAGGTTTGCCACCATAAAAGTTGGATTCCATAGATTGGTCTTGCTGGCATGCTCATAGTCAGCCAGCCACTTTTTGACGTGCCCTTTACCAGTTCCACTGAAGTGCCGGGGTCTTGCAAATGGATCACAGCAATGTGGCTGGCTTCATAGGATTAGACCGATGGAACTGACTCTTGGAATGACAAACTGCCCAAGAAGACACCGGCTGCGAAGTTCCGTGGTGTGCATTAGATCCAGCTCCTCCACCGAAGATGTTACGGGGATATGACAAAAGTCTGTTGTATTTACAGTACTTACACAATCGAAGTGATTGGGCAACAACAGTCAGGATGGTATTCTTGTTGTTCTTTTCCTTAACACATGGCATGTACCCATCCCGGCGGAAGACAACCCATCCTTCTCTTCTTCATCCTCTAGGTCAGCGGCACATAATATTACCCTGTTTGCACCATCTGGCTCTTGTTGCCACGATCATTGTGTAAATATAGTAAATACACCTGTTTTTTGTCATCTCCCCGAACATTATTAACCAATGCTTTAAAAATGTTCGGCATATCACTCTTCAAAGCTACACTTGAACTTCTTTAGTTTAGGTGCCCAGTTGCTTGCTGTCAACAAGTAACGTTCAATAATAGAAAAATAGAAATGAAAGCTTTTTCTTTTGCAGCTTTGACAAGATGCTTTTTTTCAAAGCACTGCATATTTGTAACAGAAGCATAACTCTAAAGAAATTAAATTTTGGTAGGAGAAAGGCTTCTGTAAGAAGCCAACACACAGAATGCATCGTTCGCTCGCATGTTTATCTTGACAAAGCTTGTTGACAGTTTTTTAGTGTATTTGTGGCATACTTCTTTAGGAGCTTGACACTTGCAAAGGGTTTTCCACAATGTTTGTGTGAGCTTGCTATTTTTCGCCAGGATTCTTGGACCTCGTGAAACGCTCTTAGCCCAGAGCCATGACACAAATGTACTCATGAAATAGCACACTCACCCTGATGGCGTAAGTGTGAGATTTCCATCAAGCTTCAGTGAAATAGGGTCATTGTCTGCATAATGGTGCTGCAGTGTAGCTTCCAGGGAAGTAGCATGCAAACCCTTTTTGAAGTCCCTTCCATGAAGAAGCTTGGTTATCCACAAAAGCTTGGTCTTCCCATGTATGGCCTCAAAAAGATGGCTGGTACTGGGATGCCACCATGTACTCTGGGCAAAGGGAGAGGGAAGAAAAAAAGTACTGTGAAACACTGTTCTCAAAAATATAATTGGGTCTAATATGCAATGAAATATTCTACATAAATAAAGCTGATAAAAAAAGACATGAACGCTCATCACAAGATGTGAGGGAGTCGCATCTGCTCCTCTCGAGGAAGAGTTCTGGGGAACATTACCCATCAGATGGGCCTGCAAGTTTTCAACACTGGCTCTTCGTCCCCAAAATAGGCCGACACTCGTGCTCCGCCATTGACATCGGCCTGGACTGTGAAGGAGATCGGTTTAATTGGGTAACACAGCTTGACTCCTGTGGTACGAACAGCCACCAACTGATCGTCATTTCCCCAGTTGGAAGGGGGATCCCAAGAACCAAACTGTGAAGTACAGTTGATTGGCGGACTTTCTGGAAGCAGCTTCAAGATGCCGGAGGATCAGGACTTCCTGAATCTGGTAGCAGTGGCCACGCCCTTAGTCTCCGAAGGGTACCACAAAGTGAGCCCCATACACTGACTTAATAAGGAAGTACAGTTATGCTCCCTACATTGGCTCAATAGGGAGGGAGCGGGTGCTGCAATGACCATTCCGCGCCCCCTGAAGGAGAACCCTACGCACGTCTATGTACAAGGCCACCAGTCTGCCTGGACTGCCAGCCAGATTGCAGCTCTGTGTCAGGAGCCAATTTTAGAACATTAACTGAATGCTGTTCTGGCCAAATCCAAGCACCAAAGTGCTCCCGGTGTTGATGGAATCACATGCCAGATGCTGCGCAACCTAAATGTAGCTGCAAGACGACACTTGTTGAAGGTGCAGCACTCTACTCGAGGCCTGGCTGACCACTGTGGTGGTACAGTAACCTGGTCGCCCGTGTGCAGCCCTGATGTCCTACAGGTCTGTCTCTCTCATCTATGCTGCCTGCAAGCTCATGGAAGCCATACCCATGGCAACCTTAATGCAGGGGCAAAGGAGTCTCCACCAGAACAGCAGACTGGCTTTGCCCAAGCTATGGTAAAGTGGCCCTCCACATCCAGCTAGATGTCCAGAGAACTTTTGACAGCCTGTCTGATATGGCCATAGAGTGTGCTCTGAATGCACTGGGCACCGTGGGCTGCCCTCTTACCTTTATCGGTCTGTCCAGCCAGCCTTCCTGGCTGGACAGACCCATCGAATTAGAGTTCGATGCACACCCAGTGATCCACTGCTAGTGACAGCCTGCATTCCACTGTAGCGCCAGGCCAGTCTGGGCCAGCTGCCACGCTGATGAAGTAGTGAGCCGCGTGGCTCATGATGCGCGAGCCACAAGAAATTTCAGAACGGCCTAGCTTCGGAACCTGGCTGGACGCTGCAGTGGCGACTCGACCTACCCCTGCGTCCCGAATAAAACTGTGACCTTGGCACAAGCTCATTGCCGCTGTCTCGTCTTTCATTCCTCGACATATGGTGACCATAGACCAACAGGCAAGCGACTGGTGTTGCATCGCTGCCACTGAGATTCGTGGCGATGTTCCAGCCAGCTCAAGCCTTGCAGCCACACTTCGACCCGCCTCTACCTCTGTTCTGAACCTCGTTCATCGAGCCATGGTTCCAAAAGTTCGAAGCAGCCTTGGAGCTCAATGACATCCGGCTCCAAGAATTCACGTTTGAGGTACTAGATTATCATCTTCCATGGGACCTCAAGCACCACCTCACAAACTTCGCGTGGAGCTCTCGTCCTTACGATCATCTGCGTGATGTCATGCTCCAGTAATATGGCATCAAACATCGCCTTCCCAAAAGCGACACCGTGATGCGTGGCTCATCTTTATGTAAGCCTCTCGCACCACGGCCAGTCCAGGCTATTCCCATGCTATCAACCCCAGGCTATGTAGGTGACAGAGATCACCCTGCCACTTCACGTGTTCCATCGACCGAAAGGTCCGCCACCTCAGTGTCTCTGGTTCCTGTCTCTGAGGTCTTGACTTCGCCACTAGAGCCACTTCCACCCCTTTCGTGGCATATCTAACGCCGCTTACATATGTGGAGGAAAGAGAGACGAGACGGTGGCGATGAGACTGTGCTGTGGTCGCAGCTTTTAATTGGGCGAGGACATAGCAAAGCGGCATCGCCTACAACATCCAGCCAGGTTCAGAAGCTAGGCCGTTCTGCTCTCATGCAGCTCCAGCTCACCTCAGCTGCGGGAGAGGCACAGCGCGGTGGTCAAGAAAATGATAATGATTATGATAGCACTACAGGGTTCCCCCCATAGCGCTTTGCGTGAATTGAAGGTACGGGAAAAAGAAAAAGAAAAACCGATACTATCTACATAAAAGACAATTCATAAGGTGTTCGTTTGGGAAGTTCAGGCTGTCAACGCGGATGGGCCATCAGGAAGCAGCAGGTATGGGCGATTCTGAGAGTTGCGCAGCGGACGAAGAAGTAAGCGCCGGGTCACTGCAGTTGTTGACAAACGAGTGACAGGATGACCAGATGGGGCTATCCGGGAGAGTGAGCATTGCTGGTAGAGGTGTCTTCAGGTGGAGGTGAGGGTGGGTGCAAAAACGTCGATGCGGATTCTGCGTGCGAAACAATGAGAACTGGCACAGTAAAGTCTTGAAGACCACCAATTGACAAGCAACTGCTGTGATAGGGCTTGCACTGGCAATGCACAGCGCTGAGGTCGATGTCGGTACGTAGGTGTCGTGACTTGAGCGGTGTCTGAAGATGGGTCGACATGACCGCTTACGTTGGTAGTTGGTCAGTGGTGCTCGTGTGGAAGTCGGTAGTGCAATGACACCTTCTCTGTTCTATTGTAGTTGGCGTAACGACATTAATACATGAGTTGACTGATGCGCAAACACCGTGCTCAAAGGACCATGCGAAGGACGGCACGTGATTGGTCAGTGCGTTGGGCCGAGGTGGATGAGGTTTGCGAACGTGTCAAAAGGAATGCCTGCATTCGAGTTACACGCCTGCTGGTTCGCTTCCCTCGTCTAGAACACGACAGGAGGCATGTCATGAAACAGAGCAAATGCGCATTCTGGAGAAGGGTCCGTCGGCAGCCCTGGAGTCGTAGAAGCCCCTTCGGTAGTTGGCGCATGAGGGCTCATGCATAGGTCAACGTGGCCAATGACTGCCTCTACAGCAGGCGCGAAGTCAGTGGTGTGCTCTGCCATAGGCGGCGCAGGCACATCGTACGTTGGGGCGTCGGTCATGGTGGCAGCATCCCGCACGTTCGGTCGTGTCTGTTGAGCGGCACGAGCTTCTGCTGCAGGGTACATCAACGGAGATGCTAGAGCTGCTGGCAGGAGGCACAGAGCACTGATGTGGAGAGGGGGTCATCTTTGGACATCGTCGACGAGGAAGCCTGTGCGATCAGAGGACGAGTAGCAGGCGTGATGATGTCCGGGATCGTAGCAGACTCCAGGGTGTCCGGCAATGTAGCCGTCATGGAGTCCGACATGTCCGAGAAGTCGTGGTCGGTGGAGGTTAGAGAAGACGGGTGGGTAGCAAGCGTGCCAAAAGGACCATCGGCCGAGGACTTGGAAAAAGCGCACCTCGTGGCGGACTGGTCGTCGGCAGCAGGAAAGTCTTGAAGAACCTCGTCGGGTCGGCAATTGGGCGCGGGAATCGTATCGCTAATGGCCGGTGAGAGGTTGAAGTGCACGTAGCTGGACAATTGAAGGCTTGGTCAAGGCAGCGACGATGGCCGGTTGATACCGCTTGCTGAGACTCACGAGAAACCGGGAAGTCGCAGGTGAAGGGAAGGGGGCAGTAGATGAGGCCGTAGGAGGTCAGCATCGCAGAGCAGTGGTCATCGTATGACTGCGGGTTGGAGCTTGAAGTGCCAGCGAGATGACACAGCTCTATCCGAAGGGTGTCGAGAAGAATGGTGAGCGTCAGCGGCTGGTCCGTGAGGCCATTCACGACAGGAACAGCGGCACTGGCAGGCAAAGTCGCGGAAGCATGGCAGCCGATGACTCTTCAGAGGGCGCGTTCTTGAGATCACCAGGTCCTTCAGATCTTTAATGATAGCAGATGTGGGTCAAAGTGCGGCTGCAGCGCTTGAGCTGTCTGGAACATGGCTGCCAAGCTCAAAGGTAGCGGTGCAGCGCTGGTCGCTTGTCCGTTGGTCCAGGGTCACCATATGAAGACAACGTGATGGCGTCCGACCTAGACGTGCTGTTGTCAAAGGTTAAATGAAAGGATGAAACGTACAGAAGGAAGTGAGCTGCCGAAGTATAGCAGCAACCGGCGCTACCTGTCACCTGTTCGCTGACACCACATGTGGCACTGTAACCGAACTAGCTGCCATCTTCCACGCCAGAAGCATGGCAACGACTGCAGATGACGCTCCAGTTCTGCCTGTAGTCGAGTGAATCGATCGTGATCCACCGCCCACGCAAGCACATGGTCAGCATGCCGTCCCGCATCCAAGTTTTCCTGTGCTGGCTGAACAAGGTGGTCCCGTAGCCACATACGCGCCGTCTCATATTCTGGCACAGGCCAAGTCTCCAGTGGATGCCGACTTGCTGCCGAACATTTCTGGGGACAGTGTCGAAGAGCTTGAAACCGATCAGCACTCCCCACACGACATTCAAGGACGCAGTCGTTATCACCAGTGCTGCGCAGGTCAGCACGACAGAAATGTGCCAGCATCAGTGCCATCCAGGTACACCAGGAGCTCGTGCCGCCAGTGAAACTCTGTTAAACGCGCCTCCTTGCCACCTCCTCTACAGCGCTCAAGTGACCTTCAGCCTGCGTGCCCATGCCCGCACCCCTGCAGATAGCGTCAATGTCTCAACGACGCTCGTGCCTACAACAACCATGCAACACTTGCGACACCTGCTCTCACGAGTCTTCACTGCAGTTCTAACCATCAGCATTGAGGAGTCACCTGACTCTGATATACCCAACGTTTTTCACGGTAAAGACTCGGATTTTCCCACAGACAAGCCATAGACTGCCGCTCATGTACATAGTGTCCATCCCTCTTGATTTTTTTTTGTAAATGTTTG